GTCTGAAGAACTTCCAGAGGGGGGGCGAAAAAAGCCGTTTTTGCATCAAGCTCTTTGGATGTCAAATATTTACGCTCTGCGATGACTCGAGACAGATGATACGGATAAAGATAAATTATTCATCGAGTCAAAATACATGTACCGACCAGGGCCGGATTTAGGGGGTGGCCACGTGGGCCGCGTCCGGGCTGCCCATGGCGGCAAATTTAGGGGGCAGCAAATTTTGCAATTTTTTAAATGTATGTATAAAAAAAAATCGGATTCAGACAAAAAATTACAAAAGAAAAAAGGCGAGAAAATGTCTCATTTCCTGAGAGTATAGTAATATCTAATTTTGTCGTCTTTCGGTGATACAAGTGTCAGCGCACCTTTAATTAGTCGAGTTAAGAGAGAAACCAAACACGCAATTTGGCCTGAAGCGGCGCGGCGCAGAGAGCAATGATGACGAGGACTTGAGATGAAAAGGAGAAGCCCTCGGCGCGGCGGCTGCGGTCGGTATGTAACACATATTAGCGCCCACAAAAGTGCACGGATACTTCACGCATTGCGTCAAACACAGTGCGGTTAACAGCGGTCGGCGTAAAACGCACAGCGCCTACAAGACTGCATGAATACTTCACGCATTGCGTCAAACACAGTGCGGTTAACAGCGGTCGGCGTGAAACGCATAGCGCCTACAGGACTGCATGAATGCTTCACGCATTGCGCCAAACACAGTGCCGTCAACGTGGCGCGGCGGCGGAAGTTAAAATTATTAAACCACATTTATGTTTTTCTTTCATAATTTTTCAGTTCATTTCTTACAAATGAAAGGCCTTGTCCACACAGAGATAGGTTTACGGAACTGAACTATCGCGCTAAGTTCCGTAAAAAAGGTGTCCAACACGAGTGAACGCGTCTTATGCACCCTTCCCCCTCCGGCACGTTCACTTGATGGTTTTTATTGATGTTTCAAAAAGAATAAGAAGAGGGCGGCCAAGTAGGTAAATCCGACTCTGGTACCTACGTTGTTTTCAATTAGATTTCTCGGCAGTTCCTCATCTAAAAAATGGTGAATCATTGAATGCGCATTTTTACTTCAGCGAAAGCGATCAGTTTCAGTTAGTGCGAATGTTTCGAAATCACACAACCCTACAACTTTTGAGTCATACGAGGGCTGTTCCGAAATTACAAAGCCCTCTTTAATTTCTCCAGGAGATTACAGCTGGGACAACTTCGTAGAAATTTGTTTGTAGAGCATTTTTCAGCTTTCCAACGAGCTATAGTTTTTTTTAAAATTTGGATCGGCGATTGCCAAGATATTGAGGTTAATGGTGTGATCATTTGAACCCGCGGAAAGAAAAGGTGCGGGTGGGAAAACCTCGATAACTTGGCAACCGTTGATCCAAATTCAAAAGACTGTAGCTTGTTGGAACGCTAAAAACATTTCCTACAAACACGCCTCCACAGGTTTGTTCCAGTTGTAATCCTTTTGGAGATAATAAATAGGGAAACTTACTTTTGGAACAGCCCTCGTGTCATATTGTGAGAGGAAGTTGGATTGATTTCATTCCTCTATGTTACTCTGTCGATTTTAGTACCTAAAATGTCAATTATATGATGAGCCCCAGAATCTGTGCATTCTGATAGAGCTCAGAATTCATAGAAAAATGGACTTGTAAGGTTTCAGCATCGACCGATTCGTATATTTTAGCGCTGAGTTTGGGGAAAATGTCTAAAAATTTCAATGATAGAATTTTTTGTAAACTTACCAAGTTACCTTTTTTTGCAACGAATAAGTTCCAACGATTCTGTTTTACCATATTCAAAAGCTCATGGTTGCTTGTATCCCTGCCGAGAATCGACAAAACAGTCGAGTACGAATTCTAAACGCTGAATTATGGATAATTCCCCCCTTCCCAGTCCAATTTATGAGAAATGAATTTTGGAATTTTTTCTCCCGAAAAGCTCCACATTATTTACCAATAAAAATCAAAAACCAAGTCATTTGAAAGCAAAACACATCAATTAGGTTTTTTTTTTTTTTTTCATGCGACCAGCCGGCACGAAATAATAACCTAATTGAAGTAGCCAACAAAACTATTTTACTGATTTGGCATCATTTGTTCAACTTCGGAGGCAATTACTTCATGGGGGAAAGTAAAAATCAACATTTTGCGAAAGTGCGCTCGTTGAGAACAAGTCCGTCATTTTAAAAATTCGCGGGCTCTGCGAAAATAGATGCCTGTCTTCTGATTGGTCAATAAGGCTTGCATTTTATGTGTGCCGCTCTGTGCTGATAAATGCAGTAAATATACTGCTTATCATTGGGTACATAAACAAAAGCAATTGCTCAACCTGGCAACGCTTCCATGAAAAGTGGCAAAATCGTCAAAATTATCTGTCATTTTCGTTGAATAATTTTCAGTGGACGTAAGCCTCCGAGAGCACATATTGCAAAATTATATTCGTCAAATAATTAATGCATTTAAAATCAGGAAAATCTATTCTGTTTGATTCTTGTCCTCTTTTTTAAACAGATTTTAAGGTTATGTTTAGATTCTCCGGATGATGTGGATTAGGTACTCATACTTCGTTTAACTTTTAATTTATTTTATGCCCCCAATTAATTTCGCCAATTCTATTGTCACTACTTTTTGAATGAATCACTACCGTTATTAACCACACCTCCTCATATTGAAACTCTCAGTCATGTGTTTATCTCGCGCTTATCAGTGGTAACAGTCCTCTTGTGATGAAAACCACCCACCCCTTTGTAGTGTTAAGATGCTGATGATTCAGTTCTTGTTTACTCTATCCCTGTCTTTTCCTGTGATAGTGGACCTGTAGCTCGTAAATCAAGTGTTCCTAAATTTAGTGATAACTCAGCCTCATGCTAGGAATGCAGATTGTTATGGCTCCAACGATTGCTCTCTAGTTTCCATTTCCAAGCAGGATACAATGACTATGTGATTCAGCAAACCTGTTTACTAACTTGAAGATTCATCCTGGCTCAGCGTTAAACCTTTGCCTGTATTACTATGTATTCATCAAATTTTGGATCAATTAATGCTTCCGGAGGTGTCAATGAAAGTGGCAACTCTGAGGCGCTCGATTACAATGTCAGTAGTGGAGACAAGATTTCACTGCGGCCAACCAGAAGCAGAAACATGCTCTCATCAGTTCTTGGTGCTTGTGGCTTTGATGGAGGTAGAGAACGGTCATCCTCTGGTGGCTATGTGGAGTTTGGCAACATTGGCGAAGAAAATTCAAGCCGAACGCTGGGCACATTCAGCGGTGTTTTTAGTCCTGTAGCCCTGTCAATGTTCAGTGCTCTTCTTTTCCTCCGAGTTGGTAAGTAATGGTATTCAGTTTATTTTCCAGCCCAGTGCCTTTGAATACCGATGTTGGAACTTTTTTCATATTGAGAGAAGAAAATTCAGAGAAAATTTGAGTTGGAACTGTTGATTAGTTTGCTCTCAATAGAGTAAATCACAAGAGGAGATTTACAGCGTCACTCTCTGAAATGTGCATTTTTTGATTTCAGCCATCGATATTTAGTTTTGATCCAACAGTCTTTACTAAAACCGATATCAAGTAATATGTCTCTCAGTCTGTTGGAGTTGAGGGACCAAGAGATGAAGTGTTCTCTAAGTAGGGTAGTTGTTATTAAGTAAGTTAAAGGAAATTCTGAATCAATCATTCATGCAAGCTCTGTGTTGAAACCATAGTAAACTGTTAGGTAAGTGTAAGGACCATGAGGAAATAGGTGTTTTCTCTCATAAAACCTAAAAGTTTACATGAAGAAAAATACTTTAAAAAAAGTAGGTAAGAGTCAAGTGATGATGTGGGAGAACAGCGCAAGAAAGGATGTTGGAGAGGCAGAATTTGATCAGCCGCAGTGGGGAGAATTGACACAAGACAGGACAAAATGGCGTGTGTTTGTTGATGCACTTATGAAATTTTGAGTCTCTGATATTACTCCAAAAAAAAAGAAGAAAAAACTCTAATGACCATGTCTGCTTAAAAAGCTTTCACATTATTATGTGAGGACTTAAGCATTAAATTTTCACTAAAAAAAATATTATGGTGTATTATTTTTATGTTCACAGGTTTCATCGTCGGAAATGCTGGTCTGCTTGTAACTTTATTGCAGTTTGGAATTGCATACGGGATTCTAATCTTCACAGTATTTTCGATTTGCGCTATATCAACCAATGGACCTGTAGAAGGAGGAGGCGCTTACTGTATCCTTTGACTTTCTCTGATGTCTTTGTCTTTTTTCCTCCTACAGCTCATTCTTCAATTTAATATTTTAGATCTCTTTCAAGGGACGTAATAATATGTCTAAGTCAATGACACACTGACATATTTTGTCCTTACTATTTTCGACAAGCTGTATTGGTTCCTCTGAAAATGCATTTTGTATCAAAAGGACTTAAGCAACATCTCAAGGCCCATTTGGAAGTTTTCCTCAGCATGACAGCATACTCTATTACAATAATTACTGTATAATATAATAATCATAGAATCCATGCTTTTGCTATGGATGTTGGTCAATTAATTTAAAGATAACTCTAGGAAATTGACTTTTCAACCAAATTTTCTCTTAACTTTTCTCGTAGTCATGATAAGCAGAGTACTCGGTCCCGAGTTAGGGGGCTCCATTGGAACCTTGTTCTTCTTGGCAAATGTTGTTAGTAGTGCATTGTATATCGTTGGTTGCACAGAGGGTCTCATCGATAACTTTGGACCTTCAGGTATTTATGTTGTCTTTGAAATTTAAATCCATTTTTCATAGTAATTTTTTAGTCCTGAATCTTCTTTCAGTGTTCTCTTTGGAAGTATGTCAACCGATATACTTTTAATTTGAGCTGACCTGAAGATACACATCTTTTCCGAACAGTATTGATTACAAGGAAATTATTAAATCAAATAATATTTTAATCAACTTCTTTTTTTCTATGATCGTTTGTAAATTTTGCCTGTAAGAATAATTCTGAATTTTAGAATTGGTGGTCTAAACAACACAATTGGAGCATGCCCGCATGCGGCAAAGATTTTTCACAAATTCTTAAAAAGTACAATTTTAAGTTTACTGAATCGCTTTTATTTTTTAATGATGCATTGTTGGCATAGCTAGGGTGGTCTAGACCCTAGCTCCTTAGAAAAATCATGGCTGCCACCGGGGGTAGCCATAGCTGCTCAATACATTTAGACCTCTGTGAAGCATAAACGGACACTTTGCTCCCCAACAAATATTTTGTAGCCACAAGAACTATAATATGATGTCACCATAATTTGAAAAAGCTGCTAAATAAATGATATGTAAAGCAAGGAATATTTGTTGTCCCCTTTTTTAGACAATATATTCGATTTTTTTTTCTGAGATAATATTTTATCTTACCTCTGTTTGATGAACAGGATATCTTGTAAGTGAGGAGGGCATATTGCCGGATGGACCATGGTGGAGATTCTTCTACGAATCGATGCTAAATTTGCTGAACCTATTTGTCTGCCTCATTGGTGCTGGAATGTTTGCTAAGACCAGCGTCGTAATCCTACTCGTTGTTGTGATCTGTCTTTTATCTGTGATTTTTAGTTTTTGCACTCAGTCAGCAATGCAGGTTTGTATCCCTTTTTTCAGAAAAATTGTAGTTTCCCTGTAACTCTATTTTCCTAAAATTTTAATAAGATTTTGCTTACAATAGATGAATTTAGTTCATGATATTTTGAATCGAGAGTGAGCAGAAAAAACCGGGATTCATCAGAGATTTATCAGAAAATCTGCTCTAAAAACTGGGAATCTCCTCTTTTACTGCTCAGAGACCACTCTGTTTTCAAATTTTTTGAATATTTTAAGTTAGCACCTATTGTTAGCAAGATTTATGTTATTGCATCTGAGTCACCATTCTTGACCCTTTGGACATCCAGAGGAAAACAGTATAGCACCATGAAAGTAATAATTTTATAGTTTGAAGTCCATTACCTGTAGTCTTTACCTATCAGAAAGAAGAAAAAACGGGTGTTTGAAGGCAAATGAATGTTGAAATAGTCAGATACAAGGTATTCTCCAACATCTTCCTTTAAAATTCTCTCTTTTGTGTAACTACCTACCTGTCACAAAGTATGATATCAGAAGAGATAACAATTTTGAGTCTTTGTGGCACAAATAGCGGACAATATTCTAGCCCTAATCCATCTTGTTTCACCTCAGCTATTACTAAATTAGCTAATGACTAATTCATCAATTATAGAACATGTACTGATCAACTTATTGATGGTGTGATTTCTAAATGGTGTATCTTGGTTCGCAATGTTGCAGGTTCCCTGTGATACTTCATAATTTTAATATAAATCCAGTTACCTTTATCTCTTGGAAGCTTTTGTTTTTGTTTTTCTTCTCCCTCTGTGTGCAATATTCCGTGAAGATTTTGAAGTATGATGTTGATGTGTTCTCTACTTGAAAGGATGAAACAATTGAGAAAATTTTCAAAAAAACCATAGTGATTAATATATGTGGTTTGGGAATTCTGCCATTTTTTATTCTCAAATATTAAACAAATGTTCTCTCAAAATTGTAAAGTTTAAATTTTAACACAATTTTTCCCAAACAATTGATCTTAACCATCTTAATTTTTTTCAGATTCCTATACCATCTGCCAACACGCTCATAAATGGAACCAACCACACTACAGATATCACATACACGGGATTAAACTTTACAACCTTCACAGAGAACTTGTTTCCTAAGTATGGAGAAGACTATACCTCACATGGAGACATTGTGACTTTTGCATCTGTGTTTGGTGTCCTGTTCAGCGGTGTCACGGGTATCATGGCAGGAGCCAATATGTCAGGTATTTGAAACTTCTTCAATATTTAACTCACCATTCTTCTTCTCACAATTCTATAGTTTTTCACAAGTCAGAATGTTGAAACTTTTCATTTTCCAGGTGAACTGAAGGACCCTGCTCGCAATATTCCTCGAGGCACAATCTCTGCTGTTATTTTTACGTTGATAGTCTACGTAACGCTTTCAATGCTGACAGCTGCCACCACCACAAGATTTTTACTCCAGAATTCTTATGTATTTCTTTTGCCCATCAACGTCTATCCACCGTTTGTTACGATTGGTATTCTTACAGCAACATTCTCTGCATCCCTGTCAAATTTGATTGGATCCAGTCGAGTGTTAGAAGCTTTGGCAAAAGATAATGTCTTTGGTAAGTGGATCTGGGTACATCTTCTCATCAGTTTGCTCTATTCACTGATCACAGTTTTGTCATTCAAAGTTTAAAGTCGATCTACCAGATCAGACTTAAGTTTTAAAGCGAAGAAACTTTGCTCGTAGTCCATCTGTAAATGCATTTTTGGCAGCTCACAGGAGTAGATACATATTTCAATACCTTTAGGTATACTTTTTAGGAGAGCGACTTCTGTCCAGCCAGACTAAAAGATCAAAATCTTAGGTTTAGATTTAGAATAATTCTACGACAAAAAAAATAATTTGCAAGCTGTTTAGTTAATTTTGTGTTGATAAATGGCACACAGTTGTATTTTAATCTACTAATCTCAAGTTCTGTAGGTGGTAAACTGAAATTTTCACTGGATATATCTCAAAATTAAATTTTTTCACTGCAAACTTCAAACTAAAAACCGCGAAAACTCTGGTTTTGTTTGAAGCTGTATGGTATTCTGTGCCAAAACATCCCCAAACATTTCCTCTGAGGAATGAAACCAATATCTGAATATCAAGTTTCTTGGCCCTTGAGTCTCCTTCCCCATGATTGTTTAAATTTTTGCATCATATTTCTGGATTGCTACATTCAAACATGTTGATACCTGAGACAATTTTGTCATAAGATTTTTTAGAGAAGACAAATTTATCAAGTCTCTCCATAGTGAATAAGCATCTCAAAAAAAAATTCTGAAAGCTCACTTCTTGTTTCAGGGAGACTCTTGAATTTCGTCTCTAAAGGGGTCTGGCGGAGTAATCCACTGGCTGCTGTGTTCACCTCATGGCTTCTTGTCGAGGTCATCTTATCCATTGGCTCGCTAAACACAATAGCCCAAGTCAACTCAGTTCTCTTTTTGCTGTCTTATCTGGCAACAAATTTGGCCTGCCTGGGTCTGGACCTCTCCTCCGCACCTAATTTTAGGTCAGTGTGGCTTTAGCTTTGATAATTTTACACCTGCCGACATTCATAAAATTTTCTCTTATCAAGGTAGTACAATGGCAAAATGCAATGCAAAATAGCTGGCAATCAGGGTGTCTACAAGGCCGGAATTCCAGAAAGTCCGGAAATAGTACTGATTTTTTAGGGGCAGTTCGAAAGTACTGAAAAAGAGCGAAAATTCCGCAAAAAGGTCTGGAATTTTTTTTAAATTTTTGTCATTTTTGTCGCAATTTCAAATTTTTCTAATTTCGTCAAATGAAGGTACTGAAAAAGTACGGAATTTTTCTGTTGAAGGAGGTACTGAATTTCTTGAGAATGTACTGAAAAAGTACTGTAAAAGTACATTTTTGACCAGCCTGTTTTAGTTAACGCCCTGGCAATGTTTTCACATACTATCATACTAAGTATTTTTTTCTTTTTCTAGGCCGTCTTTCAAGTACTTCTCATGGGCAACAGCTCTTTTGGGTCTCATAGGAACACTCTTCATGATGTTCATCATCAATCCATTATACGCTTCTTCCAGTATTGCGTTATGTATTTTGCTTGTTTCACTCCTACACCTGTTCTCACCAGCCCGTTTTGCTCCATGGGGCTCCATATCTCAGGCTCTTATTTTCCATCAGGTCCGTCTTTTTTTCCCAATTGGTTTTTTTCGATGTGCTTTTATTTACTTCATACTATGTTTGTCATATTTTGTTATTTGCTGTACAAAAGAACTAATTTTGTCTACGCTATTTCAGCATTTCTCTGAAGCTTCTTATTTTTCCATGGAAGAACCATTGCTTGAATTTCCCTGAAAATTTTGGTGTCTTGTCTCTCAAGTGTAACAATAAATCATTGAAAATTTCAGGCTAATTCATGGGATGGTTCTTGTGAAAGCAAATAAAATGTCAATGAAAAATACTGAAACAGTGCAGTCAAGATACATTCCTCTGTGCAGGAGACAGCAATTTGTGTTAATCCATTTGTGATTTATCTGTGTCAAAATTTATCTGTAGGACCTACTCAGCTGCTTAAAATTTCACCATGTACTAGCAAGAGGAAAATTCTAGTGCCCAATAAAAGCCGTGCTGAGGAAGAGCGCTGTATGAACCTTCAGGCGTTGCCAAATCTCTCTCGATAATTACGAATTTTCGGGAAAATTTGTAAATATTTTTCTGCAAATGTTTTGGAGGGTTTCATAATTTAATCTAAAGCGCCTGAAAATTTTAAGAAAAAATATTCATAAAGTTTTTCAAAAATAAACATTTTGTGGGAGGCAATTTGGCAATATTCGAATGTTCATACGGCGTTTATCCTCAGCACGGCAGAATGATACATCAGATAAATTGATGCTCTCTAATGTGACATTCAGGCTCAGCTGATTTGACTAAGCTAGACTTGATTGGTTGGAGGTGTGTCAAAACGTAGTCATATTAAATCGAACTCTCAAGTTTTTATGCCACGCACTAATGTCTTGCAATTTTCTCATTAAATTCCTCATCTCCACTGGAAAAAAAATAACAACACAAGAGAGAGTGCAGAGGAAGCCACGCATGTAGTATTTGTAGGCCAGTTTTTCGTTTTGTTGAGATTAAATGTGCGCTAACATTTGTATTTCTATTTAGTATCAACTGCAAGGATAGTTAATTTGACATCCAGTAGTTACCAGGTATGACCCTTTATTTTGCAGGTACGGAAATACTTGTTACTGCTCGACTCCCGGAAAGATCATGTTAAATTCTGGCGACCTCAAATCCTTCTTCTAGTCGGAAATCCACGCTCTTCCTGTCCTCTGATTCACTTTGTTAATGACCTGAAAAAGAGTGGACTGTATGTCTTGGGCCATGTCAAAGTTGGACCCGAATTCAGCAATCTGGAGGAGGACCCGTTAGTCGACGAGTATCCCACCTGGTTGACATTGATCGATCACCTGAAGGTAAGCCCAGATGCCCTTCCTCAATAAAGCGTTATTTTGTCATGAAAATAGCCTATTCATCAAGCTCTTTACTATCAACAATCCATTATTCATTGTAAGCGCAGTAGACTTTAGCTCAACTAATCAAGCTCCACATCCGACTGATGTTGTCGGTTTTAATGCAATGTAGCATCAATATTTTTAGCTTTTTCTTTATTTCTAGAAAAAAAAGTGCATCATTATCTTGACTTACAACTTAAGGTCATACAAGGTGATCTAAAAGTCTGGCACCACTAGCACCCGGCATGACCCCTGTAACTTTTGTATGGAGTGAGGCAGAGACTTGGAATTTTGAGAGTGCTCCTTGGTCAAAGAAAATGATTAGTGGAACCCCCCAAAATTTTAAGGGATTGCCCAAAGCACGAGCAAAAACCCTAGGGGTTGTAGGGATAATGCGGGACTTTTGGATCACCCTGTAAGTATGTAAATCATTTTGTCTGAGATTTGTTTTGATTGAAAGAGAAATACAAATTTTCTGATAATGACCATTTTTTTCAATGTTCATTTTAGACAATTCTCAAAGTTTAAAGTTGAAATTTTAAAATGGAAAAAAATCATAACATTTGACTAGTCTCAATACTTTGTCCTCTCTACCCTCAGGTGAAAGCTTTTATCGAATTGACGGTTGCAAAGTCAGTGCGTGAAGGTGCCCACCACCTTATCCGAATCTCAGGGATGGGCGCAATGAAACCAAACACTATTGTCCTTGGATTCTATGATGATCTTAATCCACGAGACTTTTTTGCTGACGTAAATTCCCATTACCAGACACACTTATTCCAGCGCTCAGCTATGGACAAAGAGGCATTCAGTTTGCGCAAGATGAACGAAGTGAAAAAACTCTCGTGCGACGAGTATGTTGCCATCATGGGAGACATTCTCAAGATGAAAAAAAATATATGCGTCTGTCGAAACTTTCATATTTTGGACAAAAACTCCATTGCCAATAGGTAAGTGCTAAAACCAAATCTCATGATATATTCTGAACAGGGCTTCTACTATCAAGAAAAACCGGTAAAATAGGGAAAACCCAGGGAATTCAATGTCAACTTCTGGAATTTATACAATCATTAATACAATCCAATATTTTTTAGAATAGGATTGTGGATTAGTGAAAATGAACAAAAAAGGAGGCAGGAGTAGCCTTTCTAAGTTGTCAGCTATCAGAGCCCCGGGTTAGTGATTGTTTTTCACCTCTGTGTCGGATGAGTTGTCGAAGAGAATTACTTTATGATGCCATCACTCTGGGAAAAACCGAGAGAATTTGAAAGTTGAAATAAAGTAGAACCCTGTCTGAATTCAAGAAGGTCATTGCATA